AAGGCAACTTCATGCCGTTATTGTTGAGCTCATAATGGCTGTTCTTTCTAATCACGCCTTTCCACTTTTCATGTGTGCTCTGACATACATATTGAAATCGTCCATTACAATGATGGAGCGACGCTTCATAAAAAGCACGTTTTACTTTCTCCAAGACTCATGTTCCATCAAAATTTGGCATATAGATCTGTAGCAAGGTCATTGTTTAAGTATGTTCTAGCTTCAGTTAGAGGATTGCCACTCTTTCGTTAATAGCCTTCCATTCAATGATTCTGTCAGCCAGGTTGGGTTTTACCAGAACACCAACTCCGCTCTGAGCGCTTGTTGTGATGTCGACACCAGAATAGAATGGCTTCCACCCGCCGAGGTTCAGAATGGTTCTGGAACCTTGACGCTCCGGGGGCTTCGTTTTTGAGAGTCCATTTATATCGAATTGGTACATATTCTTGTGGCCTCATTAACTAGCTTCTGGTCTTTTTGTCTGAGTGAGAATATATTCCATATTTTGACTGTAATCTTTCACTGTCGCCATCTTTCCCGTGGAGCCTTGTCTGACATCCTGTAATAGCATTGCGCTGTGCCTCCCATTCAGAATGGGTAGCAGCTGCGTTGCTTACTTGTATCTTCATCTTCCTTCTTATCGATCTTCTGCAGACGTCTCTCTGTTGCTACTTTCTTAGATGTCAGAAGGTGAGGCAGGTTATAAATGACTAGTTTATTAATTAATAATGAATAAATTTTCGTGAAGACTCAAGGACAAAACGAACTGAAGATGCTTGGTGAATGGCATCAAAAAGTGGATAGAGCTGCACTTTTTGTAACCCTGGTATTATCGGCTCCTTGCAGCGTTGCCAAATTCCGGCGTTTATGTATTCATCGTCTGCAAATAGAATTTTTCATTACCTTGTCATGAAGAGAGCGGATCTGCGATCGTTATTCTGGATCCCATTTTTAAATTATGGTTTTTTGACGTAACAAATTTGTTTCAAGGATAAAATCTCTTGTTAGACTCATGTATACCACTCACGTTAACCAACTGTTCTGGATTTCTGACGGCTCTTCATAGCTAACGAAAGTATGCTTTACTGCACTGCGCCCTTTCATTGTGCAACACAAAATTTTGCTTATGGCCTGTTTTAAATTGAAGGTCGGTGTACGAGAAAGATTTAGTGAATCAATTTATTATTTTAAAATACTGAATCTCGCCTACATATAAAATTGTTTCTACCATACTTTCAATAATCTACACTCAAAAGTGATTAGTACCTGCGCAGCAAATCAAGAAAAACGGCAGCCACAGGATTGCGAATGTTGCTACAGTTTTGAGTATGATTCGATCAGATTTCCAGTTGTGATGAGAGTGGAATCCGACGATCAAGGACTTATGATCATCGCTGCTGTTAACAATGCATGCAATGTTGCCGTACTGATACACTTGAAGGCTGAGGTTGCGTTGTCGAATCACGTGGTAGATCTTTAAATGGACGATAACGATGATCAACAGCGGAATGTAGAAGGAGAATGTTGCCGCAGTCACAAACCATGGCAGTTCTTTTGTGATGGAACAGCGCAAACTAAGACGCCACTCTTCTTCCTCTGGAGTGGTCCATCGCATCGTCAACATCAGAAGCGTAGATGAATAGGCCCAGATGGCCAGGATGACTGCAAGCGTTTTTCCACTGGTCGTGGCCACGTGGTAGTGTATGGGTTTGATTACGGCGTATAGCTGGTCTAGACTGATGCAGCACAGGGTGACGATTGACACAGTACAGCAGATGACATCCAGTGAACACAAAACGCGGCATGGTATGGTCGCTCGTGAAGGCCATGCTCCTTTAGTCAACATCTGAAAGAAGAACATCGGCATGACCAGCGTTCCGATGAGGAAATCAGCAACTGCCATATTGAAGATGAACGCATTTCTGTGCTTCAACAGAAGGTTGCAGTTCAGTATGAAATGTAGAATAACAAAGCCGTTAATTGCGATGACGCATGCTGTCAAAATTCCTACCAGAATTAAGACAGCCACAATCGGCCAACCATGTTGTGTGAGCAGCCACTTAGTCGTCGTGTTCCAGCTGTAATTTGTGTATGCTCCATTCAGAATATGCCACAGAGTCGCCATTGACAGACTAATACTTGATTGGAACCAGCATTACAGATACATTCGTCTGCTACCAATCAGTCTGATTTCACCTGTTCACCGAGCATCATACTGAGGAAGGACACAGATTACCGCCTTCTTAGCTATCGACTTGCTTCAGTTACTTCAAAGAATAGCAAGAGCCATTCGATGTTGCTTTTTACTCGGCTACTCAGCTACATTAAAATGAGCCAATAAGAATTCTTTTTGAGGAGGCAAATCAAATCTCGGCAAGTTTAAGCAATTTTGACGTATGACTTATCACTCTCAGGAAATGAGCGAAACTAAATCGATATTCGTTTGCGCTTGAAATAAACTGGATTCCCGTTCGGCTGCCCACAGCGAAATTTTAAGGCTGCCCTTGCTGCAAATGAACATTTTCTTTGAAATAGGCAAGTGAATTGTCAGCCACTGCGGAGAAATATTCAGTGGAAAATATCGATTGATGATATATCAGAACAAATGCGTGTTTAAAGTTTCAAACTCATTTTATTACAAACCAGTTTCTGCTTAATTAAACTTCTTGATTCCTGGGGGTAACAAATATATTGGGATTTTTTGTTTTATATTTGCTTTCGAGCAACGAAAGCAAACACAAACCACTTTTTAAAGTGTATTGCCAACAGTTTAAAATAAGTATTAGAAGCAGTCTGAAAATCAATGACCTGTCGCCGAATATATTGTTGACTGCCAAACACTATTTTCTGAAACATTGTTGCTGAGGTATAACATAATTCCGACATGTTTCAGTGTCAGTATGATATAGCCTCTGTACTTTTGCATTAGGTCTGTTTTCCAATTAGGCATATAAGCATGCCACGGCTCCATGGTGTTTTAACGCGTAGAGCGCATATACCCCATAAGTGCAGAGAATGAAGTGGCATTTATTTGCAGGCTGGAATTTTCAGTTTTAAAGCGACGAAGTCTTAGTGTATTGAAATTCTAAGTTTAGTCGTTGAAGCAGTAGGCAAAGTTGTCTGATTTGCAACAGTCTGGTACATGGATGAAAACAATAAATAAAAAATTTTAAAAACCCAGAACAGTTTATTCTGAGGTGATCACAAAAACACTGCAACATGATCTTATTCAACTAAAGTGCAAATGCAATTGTTGAAACACCACGAAACAACGGTACTGCTCTGCACCAGGGCGGAAAGGTTCCCCTTCATGAACTGTATCATCGGATGGTGATCTGAGATGGCATGGTGCAGGAAGTCAGCAATTATATGATATTGGAACTTCATCGTTGCAATGTTTGCAACACCATCATCATTTTCCACGACCGCCTCTTCTTTCGGGTCGCGGCGGCAGAAGCGTCAGACAGTGCTTTCAACGTTCCCGATCCTGTGCCAGAGTCTGAGCTTCGGCAAAAGATAAATGCGGTCTGGAACAGATTCCTTCCATATGTTTGCACCAGGCTAATCTTGGCCGTCCCTTGGACCTTTTGCCGGTCGGATTTGCAAGGAACAGTTGCTTAGCCTTCCTTTCTGGAGGCATTCGCAACAC